TCTACTTGTCCCGATAACAAAACATTTTATTTTAACCAAAACCGTATTTAAATCGGAAGTGATATAAGGAATGTTTTAAAAGCAAAAAAGGGTTTTTATAGTGACTAAAACCTGTAATATTTTTAACATTGCGCTGTATATCTCCTCCTCCCCTCCCTGTCTCCAGCACCACACTTGGGGACTAGCAGGAAGCAGTGAGACCTTGCAGTGCAATGAGCACCGATTGGGTACTTGTCAGGAAAGGGGAGTGTCCGGCTTATCCTTTATCCCTTTTGCTGACAAAGCCGTTTTTGCGTTTTTTGCTCAAGATTAAAAAAAAATATTTTAGGCCTGAAGATTACACAAAACCTCCAAACATGATATATTTTCTGAAATCAGAGACCCTAGAGAATAAATTTGGTGGTAGTTCCAATTTTTTATGTTGCATGATATTACTGCAAAATTTCAGTAAAAAATACAAGTTAGTTAGTTTTAGGGCACAAAAGAAAAGCAATAAATTGCCGTTTTTTTTGTAAAATATAAAAGAGGAGGATGCAGCGAGTAAATAAGATATCCAACTTGTCAAACCATACATTTGTGTGCACTCGTGAAATGGCGATGAACTTCAGTACCCTATATTTTCTATAGGTGACGCATTTAAATTCCCTTCTAGGTTATCAGTATAGTGTTATGGAGAAGGTCTGGTGCTAGAATAATGCTCTCATTCTGGCGTGCTCAGCGATATGTAATGTGTATCGCAATCAACGTTTTCATGCGTATGCGCCCCAGCGTGTGCCTTTACATTTGTACTTGCGTATATGTGGGGGGGAAGGGATGTTATGTGCTTGGGTGTAACTTTCATTTTTTACAATTTAAAAAAAAAAATGTTTTCATCATATAGGGCACAATGTCTCCTATGTGATGATTTTTTGGGGACATGTTCTCTTTATTGAGACACCCAAGGATGTCTCCCTTAAATGTAATGCAGTGCATATCGCACTGCATTACATTCTTTCCAGGCCTCAATTGCCAGGAATCTCTCAACGGGGACCCAGATGTGTCTACTCTTCTCCCTCCCCTCTAGCTGCCGGAGGTGAGCCGGTCAAACGGAGCCTGGGAGACAGTGGGCGGGGGGTGCTTCACATGGGGGGGCCCCGAGAGGCTAGCACTGTGTGAGAGCATTCGGGCGGCAGCGCTGCCACCCGAATGCTTCCACCTTACAGGTGAGCCCTGCCGCATGCCCGCAGCAGGGTTGTAGGTTAAGGAAAACTACCTGCCCGGCGCCCAGAACTACATGTCCCCGGCATCAAGCGCTAGGAATTCAACAACCCTGCACCTTTCTCCTGACAGCAGAAGAAAAAACTCTTGATGTCTGTAAACGCAGTGGTGTGTTTAGGCATGTTTAAATGTGTCAAGCGCTTGGGCGTTACATCATTGAATTAGCCAGAATAATATTTTATTCTAGCCATTAAAAGGAATTATCACTCAAGCACTAAACGCTCGTAGTGTTATCATGCGTTTACACGTGTCAAACATTTTCTTTGACAAACCGCATCTCTCCTGAATGCAACTTTGATGCGTTCAGATTTCTGCCCCTAAACCCTCCTGCTTCTGAGCTCCTCAAAAAAAATTTAAATACCTGTGTAACAGGCGTTTAGGAGCTCAAGTGTGCATGAGGCCTTATAGCTCAGTTTTTACAAGTCCATGGTGGTGGTTTAATAGGATAAACTATACTAGTTTTTCAATTATTGTTTGGATTATTATAGAACATTTTTTATTACTTAAAGTGGTAGTAAGCTGTAAGCAGCCGGTGATGTCACTGGCGCATGTGCTCTGAAGGAATGGCATACCTGTGTTGTTTCTTCAGAGCTGTGCGCCGTGACGGAGACTCCCGCGAACATGCACAGGAGTGATATCACTGCGGTTCGGCCATAGAGAGGGCCGCAGCCCACAAACCTGGAAGGAAGACCGGGTGTAGATGGAAGCCTCTGCAGCGGTGACACTGCGCTGCTGAAGAGCTTCGTTTCAAACGTGCCTTTATCTTGCAGAGTTTCTTTTTTTTTTTTTTTAAAGCCTTTACTACCGCTTTAATAAAAACATTTGTATTTTTGATAATACAGTGGGAACATCTCGCTTTCTTGTTATATTATTTTCATAAAGAGACCAGCAATGGCAGCCTACATATTACTTGAAGTAAAGACACTCAATTGAGCAGTGGTCTGCTGCATACCAGTTATACTTAAAATAAAAAGGCTAAAGTCCTGAACAGGTAGGCCATGTTCTCTTTAAGAGTTTAAAAAAAAAAAAAGGAATGATCCCTCCATTGCTACAACTTAAACTGACTTGTCTACCTTTATGATTATTATTATTTCAGGTACTTATATAATGCCGTCAATTTACGCAGTGCTTTACATATATATTACATTCACATCAGTCCCTAACCCTCAAGGGGCGTACAATCTAAGGTCCCTAAGTCACATTCATACATATACATACTAGGGACAATTTAGACAGGAGCCAAATAACCTACCAGCATGTCTTTGGAGTGTGGGAGGAAACCCACGCAGGCACAGGGAAAACATGCAAACTCCCGGCAGGTGGTGTCGTGGCTGGGATTTGAACCAACGACCCTAGTACTGCCAGGCGGAAGTGCTAACCATTTAGCCACTGTGCTGCACTACCTTTATTTAGCAAACTATATTATGTAAAGTAGCGGTGCACCAAAATGAAAATTCTGGTGCCAAAACTGAAAATTCAAAATGCACTTGGCCGAAAACCGAAATGCACAGTTTTTAAAAATGCACATATATTTTTTGGAAAAAAAATACACTGATTAAAAAAAACAATATATACCCCAATTTTTTTGTAAAATATGAAAGAGGATGTTACGGCGAGTAAATAGATACCCAACATGTCACGCTTTAAAATTGCCCATGCTTGTGGAATGGTGTGAAACTGCGGTACTTAAAAACGGGTAATGCTTTAAAAACAGGTTAGCAGTGTAAAGTTACAGAGGAGGTCTAGTTGGAAAATTATTGCTCTTGCTTTGAACACCGTTGGTTTGAACACCATTTACATATGTGGGCATGGCCTACGTATGCGTTCACCACTACGTGCGAGCACGGGGGGATGGGGCACGTTAAACTTTTTTTTTTATTTATTTAATGTTTCGGGGGGTTTTTTGCACTGTCCCTTTAAAAAAAATTTAATCACATTTATTCTTATTAGAAGAAATGCATGCATCCCTTGTGATAGAAATCAGTGACAGGTCCTCTTTATGGAGAGATATGGGGTCAATAAGACCCCACATCTCTCCTCTGCAATGTAAGGCATTGGATCAAAAAAAAAAAGCATTGGTCTAGTGCTTTAAAAAAAAAAAAAAAAATGGCCGGAATGGGAAGTGACATCACTCCGGTCCTCCAAGGGCACAGAGATGAGTGGCGGCCATCTTTCCTTCACTCATCTCTATGTCCAGTGCCGGGATCGATGGTTTCTCAGGTAAGGCTGAGAACTGTTGAGCGGCGGCGGCGGAGGGCGAAATTTCGGTGCATCCCTAAATTAAAGTGTAGCACTTTTGCAAAAAAAAACTCTCAAGACTGTTCATCTACTCGGTCCTGATAATCTTTTTCTTTGGATTTTTAACACCTTCCCCTTTCCACTCACACCCTTAATAATGCCCAGGTCCAGAAACAGGCACCTACAGCACTATGGAATGCAATCACAGGCTTACCTATGTTTCCATTACCACAAAGTTATTTGCAGGGAAAATGCAGAGGTATAGAAATTACAGATATGCTACAGTACTTTATAGTGCCTGTGAACTTTCTGTGTTTGGGGCAATATGTCCCTGTAAGCATTTGGCCCTGTACACCAGTACCACTTGGATGTGGCTACAGCCAAAGCATATAACAGTCTCTTGTTGATTTTGACAGGCAGCTGGCAGTGGACTGTACACACCAGCTGTATGGTATCAGGCCTAAAATGTTTGTAACTACAGATTCAATGTGTTATAAAGATGAACCTGTTAAAACACTCAGAAAGTCAATGGCTGCAGAAAAAAAAAAAAATATACATAGAAGTGTTTTCCCTTCCACATTCCCATCCCTTATTGTTGCTGCTGCTAAGTCTGCCAGCATTCCATGAACAAAGTGCACTGCACACCCCGGACTGCCTGCAACTAAGCAACCCATAATACCAAACAATGCAAACGGCAGCATTCAAGTATCTTCAAATAAATTCCATTGGAATTAGGCTATAAACAACAGCTAACTACCAGCTATGTAACCATTATTAAAATAATATACATTTACATCATGTGTCTTCTTTCCATATGCAATTTCTCTGAAATTGTATTCTAATCAATAACATATAAAATATTCCTAAAGTATGTGTTATCATATACGTCAGGTTTCATCCACATGGCCGCACAGCATGCAGAGCCTGCATACCAACAGTCCCGGGCCCCGATGGTGTACAGCCATCCACTGAGACGCATTAGAAGAGGTGGCAGTATATGATCGTGTGTCAAGTATTGGGAAAACACCTGTACCCACACTGACATGTGCTTCAAATGCAGATCGTGTGCATTTGGAGCCTAGATCAGTTTGCATGATTTACATAGCTCCTGACGTACAACCATATACAGCCGACTCTTCAAATACATCTCAATAGCCGGATGTACAAAGTAGGTCCCAGAAATGTCAGTATGTAGGCTCTGCACACTGTGTGGCTGCGTACATGAAGCCTTAGGCACTGGGGATGAGTGTCAGACTCACAAAATCAGCAAACTGCATATTTTTGGTCTTACCTGGTCAGATCATTGCAGTTACATCTATTGCATGTTTCTACACAAATCAGAACGATCTGCTTTTAAATATTCAAGTAAACCAAAAATCTGCAAAGTGCTCTAATGCTGGGCACCAAACACCATCAGATTGCATCCTGGACAACGTATATAACTCCATATCCCCAAGTGTTATTTGAAATCACAAGTAGAGATTGCACAAGGATACTCAAATTACCTTTATTTGTTGCCTTCGTAACATTGCCAGCTCTCTCATATCTCGGAATGGCTGTAAAAGATATTGATAAAGTTCTGTAGTGGCTTCTACAACAGCATTGTAAGCATCATCTTCCATCTGATACAACTGCAGTAGGTCAACCATGTTTTCTGTCACTTTGTGCTTTTCCAGCAGCTGCAAAAAAGAAAAAAAAACACACAAAAGACTTAGATGGCTGTATAATTACGAGCTGAAAAACACCCAATAACTGAATTCACTAAAGTACAACACTAAAGTGTTCCTTTGCATAAAAGTCCATCATTAGACATCATCCATTACTCAGCCGAACCCCCGAACTCATGCCCTAAACTTACTGCAGTGGGCTGCGGGTTGGGATATTCCCGGCTCTATTTAAGTGAGCTGTGGAGTGGGAACCCCAAAACTCATTGGAGTAAAATAAGAGCGCGAGTTTGGAGTTCGGCTACGGAGGAGTTTGGAGGAAACTCACAAAAACTCATCTTTATTGGTCATGTATGTACATTTATATGTACAGATGCAGTTATTCAACATAAGAAATAATATTTTTCAGAAATTGATTGCACTAAATGCATGGTTCAATTAAGAAAATTAAAAAAAAAAAAAAAAGTGATTGTTCTCATCATTTGATAATTCAATTTACAATCAATAATTTTTCACCATGTGTATGGCCAGCATAAGGAAGACAATGGGGTTGATTTACTAAAACTAGAGAGTGCAAAATCTGGTGCATCTGTCCATGGTAGCCAATCAGCGTCTAACTTCAAGCTGAGCTGAGAAAAAAAAAAAATCTGGAAGCTGATTGGTTTCTATGCAGAGCTGCACCAGATTTTGCACCATGCAGTTTAATTAAATACCCCCCATGTGTACATACACTGTGTGCACAATTATTACACAAGTGAGTATTTTGAGCAACTCATACTTTTTATGTATATTGCCCAATTCCAAGCTGTATAAACCTGAATTCTAATTAGATTTAAGCATATCAGGTAATTTTTATTTGTGTAATGAGGGAGGGTGTGGCCTATATTGAGATCAACACCCTATATCAATGTGTGCATAATTATCGGACAGCTTCTCTTCCTCAGGCAAAATGGACCAAAAAGAGATTTAGCGGACTCTGAAAAGTCAAACATTGTAAAACAGAGGGATGCAGCACGCTTGCTAAAATATTGGGACGTGATCACAAAACTATGAAACGTTTTGTCACAAGAAACGTGTTGCGAAAAAAAGACGCAAATTACCTGCCAAACATTTGAGAAGAATCAAACGTGAAGCTACCAGGAACCCATTCTCCTCCAGTTTCATTATCTTGCCATTATATTCCAGAACTGCAGCCTACCTGGAGTGCCCAGAAGTACAAGGTGTTCAGTGCTCAGAGACATTGCCAAGATCAGGGAGGCTGAAACCCGACCACCACTGAACAAGGCACACAAGTGGAAACGTCAAGACTGGGCCAAGAAATATCTGAAAAAAGATTTTTCTAAGGTTTTATGGACTGATGAGATGCGTGTGATTCTTGATGGACCAGATGGATGGGTCCATGGCTGGATCAGTAACAAGCACAGAGCTCTACTTCGATTCAGGTGCCAGCAAGATGGAGGTGGGGTACGGGTATGGGCTGGTAATATTAAAGATGAGCTAGTTTGTCCTTTTTGGGTTGAAGATGGACTCAAAATCAACTCCCAAACCTACTTCCAGTTTTTAGAAGGGTGGATATGTTGGTCACTGTTTTTTTTTTTTTTTTTTTTTTAAATGCCAGAAAAGTTTATTTATAAATTTTGAGTTGTTTGCTTATTATTCTCACTTTAACAAATGAAAATAAACAAGTCAGATGGAAAAAAAAAAAAAAATAATTTTGTTGCATAATGACTCTGCACACATAGATATTCTCCTAAGAAAGCCAAAACCTCTTTTTTTTACTTTCTTAAACAGTCAGGTTTGAAGTTTATTAACATTTTGGACTGACCGAGAACTGTAGTTGTTCAATAATGAAATTAATCCTCAAAAACACAACTTGCCTAATTGTGCACACAGTGTGTGTCTGTTGATAGCCTTAGAGCAGAACTCCAGAATGCAGACCCCCACCACCTCCACTGTGCAGCTTTATCCCCTTATCCTTACATTTATCTAAGGATTTCTACATGGAAGAAAAAAGGGTCACATGACAATCTTATTATTTGCCATTTTTGTTCACACTGTCAGCACATTTAGGGCAGCAACAGTGTCTGACATTCCCCAGACATCATGTAGACCAGTGGTCACTAAATGGCGGACCGCGGTCCAGGCTCCCTGCCCGGCCACCGACGCCATCCCCACAGCGGGCAGGGTACAAGGAGCTGCAGATCAGGACCGAGGGACGAGAGCTGCCCAAGTAATGTCAACAAGAGGGCGACCACCCGGCCCGCCAACATGAAGACTCCCACCCCCCCTTGAGCTGCAGAGAGTGGAAATCCCACACACACCAACAAGCCAGGCAATCACCAGCTCCCGCCCCCTAGTCCCGATCTGCAGCCCCCCACACCCCTCCAACCGCGAGGACGACACCTGGGTGGGCGAGGAGCTACAGATTGAGAACGAGGGGAAGGAACCGGCGACTGTACAGGGGAAGACTTGCATTAAAAGGGACTCTGTGTTGTGTTAAAGGGCGCTGTGTTGTATAGCATGGTGCACCAGACCTAGAGAGACTGACAGCTGTTTTGTGTTTCTTCCATTTGCAAATGATTGCACCAACTGTTGTCACCTTCTCACCAAGCTGCTTGGCAATAGTTTGGTAGCCCAGTCCAGCCTTGTGTAGGTCTACAATCTTGCCCCTGACATCCTTGGACAGCTCTTTGCCATGGTGAAGTTGGAATCTGATTGTTTGATTGCTCCTGTGGAAAGGTGTCTTTTATACAGGTTACAAAATTGGATTAGCAGCACTCCCTTTAAGAGACTGCTTCTAATCTCAGCTTGTTACCTGCATGAACGACACCTGGTAGCTAGAAATCCTGCTGAATGATAGGGGATCAAATACTTATTTCCCTCATGAACATGCAAATCAGTGCATAATTTGTTAGAAATGCATTTATGTTGTTATTCTGTCTCTCAGTGTTACAATACACCTAGCATTTGATTTTTAGACTGATCATTTCTTTGTGAGTGGGAAAAATTCTAAATCAACAGGGGATCAAATACTTATTTCCTTCACTGTATGTACTACCATGTAATTTGAAGTTCATTACTATGTTTGATGTGACTTTCATAGTAAATAATACCTTCAAGGCCCCGGTGAAAAAAAACTCAGAAGGGCCCTTGACCCGCCCACCTTTTCTCTCCGAGTCCTAGGCCCTTGCCATTGATCATGGGTCCCTTTATTATGGTCCCACAGTGGGACCCTTTCACATGTTTTGCAGCAGCCCCACCTTCCTACCGTTTTGGGTAGGGTTGCTACCTTTTCTTCAATCCGCACTGGGGGACTCTGCAGACTCTGTTGTAAGGGAGAACTCTGGGGACTCTAATTTAAGGGAGAACACAGATGTAAGAAGCAATGCTGCAGACTCTGGTGTAAAGGGGATCTGTGATATAAGTGGATCTCTGGTAACCAGAGCCCCCACTTACATCAGAGTTCCCAGCAATCTCCTAACATCAAAGTCCGCAGAGCGCCCCTTACATCAGAGAACTGTCAATGCTGGCTCTGGGCTGTGTGAGAAAGACTGCCTCAGATCAGTCCTGCAGCCGCTGGGGAGCAAAGCTCTTGGCCTCCACCCCCCAGTGGCGGAACATCAGGGCCCTTTGTGACCCTGATAGTTCTGCCACGGAGTTTCTCCTTCCTTGTTCCCTGTGCCAGCCCATTGATGACACCTGTGCCTGGTCTCACACATACACAATATATAAACAGATGTATGAATTAACATCTCTTGGGATTTCATTGATGAAAGTATAGCTCTTAATCTGCCTCCTTGCCCATATGACACTAGACATCATCCAGAATGCCTTTGCAAGGAGATATCCTACAATATCACAGGATCTCGTAGCACATGCCCCACTGATTATTATTGTTGAGGGAAGGGGGGAGGTCCATTTTAACTCTTAGATAATGGGATTAATTTACAAAAGAAGTACAGAATGTATTCACTTTGCTCAGTGAATTTGCACTTATCTTAGTGAATAGGGTGAAACGAAGTAAAAATTTACTTTGCAATATATACCCAATCACTCATAGTCAAAAATAAAGGCTCAAGCGAAGTAAAAAAAAAAAATCACTATGAACATGCTTTAATTCTTTATTTAATCAACCCAAGTGTGACAAAGTGATGTATTAATCTCTGTTGAATAATTACACATGAAAAAAAACTGAAAGAGCAGCAATTACGTCTATGAAGTCACTTCATTAATGCAGGGAAATGCAGCTGTAATAAATGTGCCATTGATATGAACTTAGAGCCATGCTAACTAGTCAACTGTAGATGCAAATACAGAACAATTCCAGTACATTCAGTGCAGCAAGCTGAAATCGATGACAGTAGACTCTCTGTTCATATCTTAGCACGAACTATAGGAAAAACAAATGTCAGTGGAAATCATGCAGTAACAAAAATTTGGCAATGAGAAGAAGAGCTTCAACAATTATACAACTAACTCTAGACTCTATCATGTTCCTGACATGCTTGTAAAACAGCCAGTCTACTTAATGAACTTTGGAACTTACCATGCAAACGAATAGCTATAAATATTGTAATTTATTAAACAGATCAGAAAGAAGAGAACCAGTGATGGCTTTTTCTATGGAATTTCTGTTAGATAAACCCATCAAAATAAAGTGTGCTGGAAGGAGGAAATGCAAGTGTAAAGTCCAGCTGTCATAAACGTTCACACTGCACAGGAATCAATAGAGTACATTAGTATTACCAAGCATACTGATCTGCTATTGTTATCAATGGGCAACCCATGCGAAACTCTGCACTGGCTCCTAGAAGGATAAAGAAGCTACAAAGCCCCGCAAAGGCCAAAGCAGCGGGAAGATGCCAAGCTCTGACCGGAGGTCTACAGTATAAAATGTGATGAGCAGTAAATTTCACTACAACTGCATGTTAGGCTCTTTATACAGTAGACTGCATGGGTCGTGCAGGTTTACATTTCATAGGACATGCTTAACCACTTGACCTCCAGAGGATCTA